ACACAAAGAGAAGAGAAGGGTACAGGGGGGGGGGCTCCCCACCAGCCTCTGTCTCACACTGGGGCATCCGTGGTCTGTGTCCTGGTGGTTAGGAGCTCAGCCATTGAGCATGGATGACAGTCGGTTTATATAGTCAGAGGCTCTGAGGTCAAGCTCCTGCTTCCTGACTCCCTAGCTATGCAGTCCTGGGCAGTGGCTTAGCCTCTTTGAACCTGCCCCTGGATGTAGATGGGTATAATAGACTACTGAGGGTCACACTGCAAGTGTCTCGTGTCATTATTACTGGTGACATGAGACATAGTCACGTGAAACTTGAAATATGGTTGGTTAAAAACAGAAAAAGAGGAGTTGCCTGACCTGGGGGCCCTGTGGGGCACAGAGCTGGGGTAGCGGATGAGAACCTGGGGGCAGAACCACAGGGAGGAAGGAGGTGGAGCCTGTCCACAGTCCGGCTGAGCACCTTCCCCTTTCTCTCTGCCAGCCCCTTCCATTGTGGAGAAGGCCAGCCCAATCCATGGTAGGTTCTCTCTGGGCTAGTGCCACACAGGGGGTCTCCAGGGACCAGGGCCTGGGGAAGGAGCCTGTGGGCCTTGGGCCTGGGGCTGGAGGCTCTTGTCTTGTGGCAGGAAGTGTCAGGTGCTGAGCAGTAAGAGCTGGGAGGTGGCGGAGCCAGAGGGTGTGTGGCTGTGGTGAGGGGAGCGGAAGTCAGAAGCTGCAGCGCCACACTAGCTGCACAGGCAGTGTGCAGCAGGAAGTGCTCCTGGGGAGCGCGGGCCACTCACGCCCCTTGGGCCCTCTGGAGGTGAGTGCGATGGGTTTGCTGGGAAGGCAGGGAACGTGGACAGTCCCTGTGCTCCTGTCCGAGCAGGAGCTGGGGCACGTGGGCAGGAAAGCAGCCAGAGCGCGCCTACTGCGTGTGCACCTGACTAAGCCCGGCTTCATCTAGAACCCCTTCCCCCTTCCTTTCCTCTGTCCTCTTCTCCCTCAGCCCACCCCCTCCCCATGTGGCTCTTCCCTGGTCGCCATTTCTCCCTGTTGTTTTTCTTCTTTGCTCCCCATCCCCCAAGCCCCTGAAGGTAGTGAAGGGCTGAGGAAACCCCTCGTCAAACCTCTATGGGCCTCCCAGGGTCTCTGGTGACCCACTGGGGACTCTGGCAGCCAGAATACTCAAGTGAGTCTTGTCCCTAGGCCTTGGAGGGAGGGAGCTCAGACAGGACTGGGCTTGATGTGAGGTCAGCTCTGGGTGTGGTCAGACTCAGACTTGGTCATTCGAGGGCTAGGCTTCCCCTGGCCTCCTGTTCCTCCCAGAGATGCTGTGTCAGAAGTTGGCGGACCCTCCTTGCTGGTGTCACTCTGCTTTGGTCCTATTGTCCTGGCATGCAGTAGGAGCCCTGTCACGTTCAAAGGTGCCTCTGCTGGGTAGCCATCATGCACACTCGTTATAGTTGTTATCATCATGGTAAAGGGGCCTGGAGGAGGGAAGCCATTGTCCCCTTATTTAGGACCTAAAATCTCAGGCTTGGAGTCACTTCCCTGTTAAGAGGACAGTCTGTTATCAGTAGATAAAAAATGCCCCTCAGGGCCATTAGAAGTTAGCTAGGCTTGAAAGAATGGATTGCAAGTGGGCTGTTTCCTGGAGCCTTGGGGCTCACGTGCTTGTCCTGTGGATAAGGAGCCATCCAGCACAGGGATTTGAACCCAGGCTGCTGAGCTTTTCATGGGGGCAGGGAAGACATTTAAGGAAGGGGTGAGACAGAGGGAAGGGAGGGAGGAGAGGCTTCCCTGCCTGGTGCCTGGCCCTGCACCTCCTGTGCTTCTTGCCCTTTGCAGGCAGCAACTTCCCTGGGGCCCTTTTGAGGCCTTTCACAGCCCCTCTCTTATCCTCATTCCCCTCCCACTCTCTCTGCCCACCCAGAACCTTATCCTCTACTTTCCTTTCTAGCCTCACCTCAGGATCCTCCTTCCCTCTCTCTGCACATTTGCATGAAGGTTCCTTCCGGGTGGGCAGGATGTGGGGCCTCCGCCAGTCATTTCTCTCAGGGTGTCCTGGGCTCCAGGTTCAGGCAGGGGTGTCTGCCCTGTACTCCAGACCAGGGCACTCTGCTCACAGCTTCTGCCCTCAGGGCTGCGCAAGGACAGGACAGGTCACTCCTGAGTCCCTGGACAGGCTAGCAGCCATTGTGCTTTTTCCACAGGAGGGAAAAAATGTACAGGGCAGTCAGAAGGAATATTTGCTCACTGTGGCTAGAGGCCTCAGGTGGGAGACAGACAGACAGACACTCTCAGTAGAAGGCTCAGGGATGACTCCTCCAGGAGGCTGAGAGCCCAGGGCCTATAGTTTGGGATGAGCCCCACGAGGGCAGTTGTGTGTTGGTCTTTGTTTATTTTGGCTTCTCTGAATGGACCCGTAAAACAGCCAGTGTGGGGACCAGCAGTTGGCATAATGGCTATGTCGCTGGACTCCTATGTAGTCGAACGCGGTTTGAGTCCTGGACCCAGTGGCTTAAACTCACACCAGGTGTGTGTGCGTGCATGCCCAAGATCCTGAGAGAATGGAGGAAAAGGGATTGTGGTGTGGCCATTCCCCCTGGGGTGGTGATTTCTCACTTTCTGTCTCTGTCTCTCTCTGTCTTTCTGGCGAGCACACATACCCTATAGCAGAAACCTCTCCAAAAAAATACATAAATAAATCAATAAATAATAAAGAGAAAAACAGCCAATGTTAAACTCGGCAAGACATGGTATTTCTTGAGCACCCCTAAAGGGCCAGGCCTGTTTTTTAATGAACTGCCCAGGACCTCTACTTGATTTCATTTCCTTATTTCACTTATAAGGAACCAGGTGAAGTTTGTCACCCTGAGTCACGTGGCTCTTCTGTTGTAGAGTGAGGATATGAATCTGGTCTCTGAGCCTCCATGACTGTGTAATTTGCCATGACCCCAAGGTGGGTGAGGGGATGCAGTCAGTGCAGGGCTCCCAAAGCTGTCACCCTGCCCCAGGCTTTGTGCCTCGGTCACCCCATTCTTCAGCTAGAGTACAAGACCATATCCTCAAGCCAAGAGTAAAAAACAAGTCCACTGTTAAAAAGTGCAATCCAGGTGTCAGCTGGGCTATGTCGCTGGACTCCTATGTAGTCGAACGCGGTTTGAGTCCTGGACCCAGTGGCTTAAACTCACACCAGGTGTGTGTGCGTGCATGCCCAAGATCCTGAGAGAATGGAGGAAAAGGGATTGTGGTGTGGCCATTCCCCCTGGGGTGGTGATTTCTCACTTTCTGTCTCTGTCTCTCTCTGTCTTTCTGGCGAGCACACATACCCTATAGCAGAAACCTCTCCAAAAAAATACATAAATAAATCAATAAATAATAAAGAGAAAAACAGCCAATGTTAAACTCGGCAAGACATGGTATTTCTTGAGCACCCCTAAAGGGCCAGGCCTGTTTTTTAATGAACTGCCCAGGACCTCTACTTGATTTCATTTCCTTATTTCACTTATAAGGAACCAGGTGAAGTTTGTCACCCTGAGTCACGTGGCTCTTCTGTTGTAGAGTGAGGATATGAATCTGGTCTCTGAGCCTCCATGACTGTGTAATTTGCCATGACCCCAAGGTGGGTGAGGGGATGCAGTCAGTGCAGGGCTCCCAAAGCTGTCACCCTGCCCCAGGCTTTGTGCCTCGGTCACCCCATTCTTCAGCTAGAGTACAAGACCATATCCTCAAGCCAAGAGTAAAAAACAAGTCCACTGTTAAAAAGTGCAATCCAGGTGTCAGCTGGGCTCCTTCCTATCCCCCAGCGTAAAAAAGAAATTGTCATGGGGTTGGCAGGTGGTCTGGTGATTAAGGGGAGCGGATCCCACATGGCTGAGTACATGATTCGAGTCCTGACCTGGAGGTATAAAAATCACACTGGCATGTGTGTGTGTGCCCAAAATCCTGAGAGGAGAATGGCAGAGAAGGGATTGCAGTGTGGCCATACCCCGGAAGAGGGATTTCTCACTTTCCCTCTCTCTCTACCTTTCTCTTTCTCTGGTGAGCATATGCACTAGAGCAAACTAATAAAAGGGAAATTGCCTTGAAGCCTGGGTTGGTCGGGGAATAAAGGTGGGGGCCTCCCAGCCATCACTGTCTGTGTCCTTTCCCTCTCACCCACTGGGCCACAGAGTTTAGCCCTGCAGCGATCTCCATGAGAAACACCCTTTCCTCAGGGTAGAATTCTCTGAGGTGTAGTTGAGCTTTTTCATGTCCCTAGAACTTAGCCAGAACAGTTTTAAAAGGGGGCATTGCCGGACCAGCAGATGGCTTAATAGTTACGTCGCTGGACTCCCTGACCACGGTTTGAGGCCCGGACATGGACGTGGCAGCCTAAAACTCATGCTGGGGGCGTGTGTGTGCTGCCCAAAATCCCAAGAGAGGAATGAAGGAGATGGGGTTGCAGAGTGGCCATCCTCCTTGGCGTGTGTTTTCTTACTTTTTGTCTCTTTGTCTCTCCAGCAAGTGCATGCACCCTATAGCAAAAATCTGTATCAAAATTTTTTTTTTCAAAAGGCATCGCAAATTATATATATCCCTCTCAAAACAAAACAAGAGAGTGAAAATCGAAGGTGCGGAACATAATATAATGCTGTTTGTGGAAGATAATGAATATGGTAATATCCTTGATTTGATTATCCCACATTGCATGCATGATTTGTAAAACCATAACGTATCCTACAAAATACATACAATTAAATGACAATAAGAAACTATAAAATAAATAAAACTTAAAACTTAAAAAAATATATAAAAAAGAACTTCCTAAGCCATCACAGTGCTCAGAAAAATGAAGGGCCACTTTAGTTTATGGGTTACCAAACCCACCTTCTGAGGCCAGTAGCAGATTCTTTCATGGCCGAATCCCTTCCTCCCACCTCTGCTTTGTTCTGGTTAGGATACCTGAGACAGACAGTGATCTCAACAAGAGATTGCACTAAACACCAGGGGCCAAAGAAAGAGTGAATCTAGAACTTTCAAGCTACTTACCTGCTCTCTAGTTCCTGGCCTGCCTCGAGGAGGTGCCATCCAACCTCCGGGAACCAAGGCTCTACCCTTGACCTTCCCAGCAGACTGCCTTCTCTCTAGTGACAGAGAGGACGTCTTGACATCTGAAGGGAGGGACTTCACCTTTCAGATCATCCTGCCCCTCCATTCAAGGAGGGGCCCTTAAGAAAGAAAAATAGGATGAACCTCTTTTTTTTTTTTTTGGAGAGGTTTTTGCTATAGGGCGTGTGCGCTCGCCAGATAGACAGAAAGAGACAGAGAAATAGAAAGCGAGAAATCACCCCCCAGGGGGGATGGCCATGCCGCAATCCCTTCTCCTCCATTCTCCTCTCGGGATCTTGGGCACGCACGCACACGTGCCCGGCATGAGTTTTAAGCCACCGGGACCGGGACGCGAACTGTGGTCAACTACGTGGGAGTCGAGCGACATAGCCATTACGCTAACTGCTGGTTCCCAGAATGAACCTCTTAAACAGGCAATCACTCAGAGTCTTGTCTGCCACTGGAGTGCTCCCTGTTAGCCTCGTCCTCTCTGTGCAGGTGCTGCCTCAGAGCAGAGACCCATGTGGACATTTTGGTTGCTGGCCTGGCAGGGACTGACCTCCGGGAGAGCACTGTCCTCAGAGCTCTGGGCTTCCTGGGGGAAGAGGTGATGGGTTCACGGGCAGACACCCTGGAGTGGAATTATAATATCCTCATGATCCAAATTCCCCTTCTCTAAGTCCTCTGGCTGCTGGGGAGGAAGAAGCATTTTGAGGATCCATCTGTCTGTCCATCTTCTTGTTTCCCCAAACATTTCTGGATGTCACTTCTGAGCCAAACAGGCACCACACATGACAGTGAGAATACAGATGAATTTGAGGGACTCTCTGCTTCACAAGGGAACTGTTGAATATCCAGGGGAGTTGATTTGAAGGTAGGAAGAAAGTAATGCTTTCTACACTGCCGGATAGTGTAGCAGTAAAACATCATGCTCCGGGAGACTGACCGGAATGGAAGGTTCCAGGTTTGTTTCTGACAACCTCTCTAAGTATGCTGAACACATATGTGCCCATTTTCCAGCTATAAGTCTGGATTTAGATCTCAGCTCCTTTGCCTACTAGCTGAGCTACCTGGGAGAAGTTAATGAACCTCTCTGAGCCTTAGCTGCCCTCTTAATAAGAAAGGGACGTTTCGTTCATGAGGCTGGGAAGACAGATAAGCTCATGACCGTAAAGCTGGATAATTGTCACGTTGCAGGGGCTCAACTGGTTGTTTTGATCCTCCTCAAGGTATTGGGTTGCAGATAAAAGACAAAATGCCCAGTTCAATTTGAATTTTGGATAAAGAATGAATAAATTGTGAGCATAAGTATGGCCCAAGTACTGGGGATTCCATGTGCTTATTTGTTAAATCTGGCAGCCCCTCTCATGAAGTTGTGTGCTGCACACAGAGAGGCCTCCAGGGAACTAGGACCACCTCCACAGGCTCTGGAACCCCAGGTGTTTCAGATGAACCTCCACTGCTCAAGGCAACCTTCACCTAACCTTCAAATTACTAATTCACTTGAACTGAAAGATAATGATATCCTACCAGAACGTTGTGGGTGAGAGTGAGTGTAAGAAAATCAGTCACTCAAGGCATTCACGTGCTGAGGTATGGCAGTGAACAGGAGCACAAGAGCCCACCTTCCAGGCACACTCGATCCTTGTGATCCTAGTCCACACACTAGGAATGCACACCAGGTGAATACTCTGAAATCAGAGTCAGGATGAGGGTAGGCAGGTTGATTTTAATGGGTGTGAAGGGTCATTGGCCCCGTCGCACAGGTTTTCCTGCACCAAATGCTGTGGTCTGCCCCTGTCTGTCTCCACATTGCCATGGGGTCCCCTTCATTTCCCAGTCCAATCCGTTCCCCCAGCTCCCCAGGCTCCAGCGATCTGCTCTCTTCTCCTTAATGTTTGAAGAGCTGCTTACAGCTCCTCTGATTTTATTTTCAAGTCTACTTTATTTTTGCAGAGAGAGACAGACATGCAGACAGACAGACAGCCACCTCCAGCAGAGTCCGCACACTGTGATCTTCCCCTGGCCTCAGTTAGCTGGGATCATGGGCTTGCGTGTGTGGCCAGCGTGTATGAGGAAGTTTCAGGATGCAAACCCAGGACCTTCCCTTGTCCTGTTGTGCTACTGCTGTGCCAGTCTGGCCCCTGCCTTTTTTCCCCCCTCCTTCTCTGAATTCAGTGGGGGTCGCCGGGTTTCTTCAGGGAAGGGCAATCTAGTACTCACCGATATCTAGCGTAGTCATTCCCATGCACCTATATGACTGCCTTATGTAATATATGCATTTCTTTATGAGTACATGTTTGCAAGGAGAGAGCCGTAAAGAAATGCAGATTGCCTTTCTCACTGACCCTGCCCTCATCCCCCTCCCCACTCTTGGCCTGTAAACGTCTCTTGTGAACTGAGTTCACTGAAGAGGGGAGGTGAGTTGAAGTCATCCTGGCAAAATGCTCTGATCCTCACAGACGTGAGGCTGGTACACATTCTGGTACAGCGTGTGGGGGTGGGGAAAGAGGCCAGGAGGGGATGTGGCACACAGGAGGGGAGCAGGCTGGGCACACATAGGCCACACTTTTCCAGGGCCGGAGGGGACAAAGAGGGTGGCCTTTGGGTCTGGTCAGGGAAGGGAGGCAGTCAGGTGGAGCTGAGGCAATAAATTAGGGCATCTCACCCCAAACCCCCATGTCCTAGATGGGGATATCTTCCCAGTCGTTTCCTGTTCCACCCAGGCTGGTTTCTTGAGGAGATTGCAGAGGTGGGATATTTCACATCCCTGTTCACCCAATGGTTCTCCACCAGAGAGGCTGGGGAGGGAGAACTGGGATCCAGGGTGGGTACCAAGTATAGACAGTGGATCCGACATTCACTCATCCCTTCTCCTCATGGACATGGGACTGTCACAGGCCTCTTATCCAGAGGGCTCTGAGGATATAAAATGGACAACTGCATGGGGGAATGAGAACAGGAAATGTCCCTGAGACTTTGGGGGTAAGTTATATAAATCCTCAGCCTATAACTGGGGGTAAAGGTGTGGGGTGGAGAAACAGAACCTAGAATGATGAGTGCAGGCTGAACTAAAATAGTTGGAGATGGATGGAAGAAGCATGAAAGGCAAGAGCAGCTCTAATCCGCTTTATTCAGAGCATCAAACACAAGATGAAACAAGAAATGGCCCCAACTTTTGATTAGTCAATCTTTTGACCTTCTCTCTCCTTTTTAAAAGGTTAATTATTTATCTCTTCCATGTGAAAGGAAGGGATCAAGAGAGAGAGAGAGACAAACACCCCCCCACAGGGTCCCCACCCCACAATCACATTCCCAGCCCAGCCAGGAGAATCGTGGACATGCGCATCTGCACTGCTACCACAGGGAGCCCTTGGGACAGGAACCCAGGACTTCCCCATATGGCCCCAGCATTGCCAAGCGCGGTGTTACTGCGTGCCGCAGCAGCAGCAGCAGCCAGCCGGGAAAGCTGGTTTACGGCTAGGCTACAGAAGGGCTCCGATGGCTGGCCCTGAGTCTTTCCCAGTGAAACTTTGGCATCGCGAGGCAGTCATTCAGCAAGTGCAGGTTCTTGTGCTATGAGTGAGGAACGTGGGGGCTGGGGAGAAAGAGAGGTAAAAACCCAGAAAGGAGTTTGGTTTGTGAGGGACTTTTAGAATACTTTCAAGATGAGTGAAAAAGTCAAATGCATACTCGTTTCTCTCAGGCACCCTCCAGAAAGAAGGCACAGTGCAAAGCCATTTTCTAGAGAACATTAGGCAAGAGGTGGACCCCCCCAACCTTGGTTTGAGAGCTCTGAGATATTATCATTCTTGAGTGTCTAGTGAGCAGAGCCTGGGCTGGAGGCTGGACATGAGTCCTGTCGGTTAACCATGGTTCCGCTTGGAGGTGGGGTCCAGAGGGATTGAGGGACGTCCCAGGTTCATTCACTCAGCAATGTGTGTTGGGGAGGATTTGGGCCCAGCTCCGTGCACAGAGGCAGCTTTTCCATGAGCTGTTGGAACCCTGCAGGGCGGGCAAGTCCCACCCTCATACAGGCTGCCTGTACTTCACTGGAAGTCTGGAGCCTTGAACAGAGACCAGCCATGGTGGTGCCAGGGAGGCCTTCTGGGCAGCACTCGTCAGTGCTGGAGGGAGAGGCACCAACAGCAGAGACACTGTGCAGAGAACCAGAGACTGGGAGGTGTGTGCCAGGCGGAACCAGGCCTCCTTTAGCACCTGTCAGTCATTAGGCTGGTCTCGGGCTTTGGCTTCCTCATCTGTGAAATGGGCACAGTAGGTGCCTGTGCACCTTCCAGGTGTGAAGCTGGATGAGCGGTGGGTGCAGATGGACTTGGCTAAATGTGCACAGGGAAGGGGCTGTTGTTCCTGTTCTTGTTCAGGAAGTAGGCATGCCATGAATTGGGAACGTGTGTATGTGTGTTTATCCACACATCTGTTCCCTGAGCATTTCAGCACAGCTTGCCAGCCCACACGCAGTCTTCAAGAGAGAAATACGTGAGCGAAGACAGTGAGGCAAAGGAGAAATAAGGAAAGAGACAATGAAGCAGGAGGTGTGTGTAGCACATTCCACAAGGCCTATGAACTTAACCCTGCACTTCCAGAGAGCGGCACCAGAGGGCGATAGGTTAGGATGTAGAAGTTTCACAACGTCCATCATCAGATCAAAACAAGCCAGGTACTCTGAGGGTGCAAGGCCACTCTGAGAGCCCTGTAAGCTGTGGTCCTGTGTGAAGGGTGGAAATTCACACTTCTTGGGAAAAGACCTTGCCAGGTCTCTCAGCTGCATCTGATAAGAGTCCACCCAGAGGGTTAGTGTGACAGATGTGCACAAGGCAGCTCTAAGTGGATGTGGTTCTGCCTCTGCAGACATGGCCCCTCCCCTCAGCCCTGTCTCCCTCTCCAGTAGGCAGGAATCTCCTCTCCATGCAGCAGGTAGCTTGCCCTGTTGGGCAGAGTGGGGAGCAGGGCTGAAGTCTCTTCCTTCCATGAGGCTTAGGCTGAGCTTAGGGGAGAGGCCCTTGCTGCTTCTACTCAGCCAAGGTGCACAGCTAGCTGGGAACGGCTTGCAAAGAACCAGAACCCAGCCTTGTGAGCTGGCCCGGTGGACGGCACAGCCCTTAAAGACAGGGGCCTTGGAAAGGGGCAGTAAGGTAGGCTGTGGCCTTTCTCCTGGGTGTCTGCCTCTCCTCCCTGTAAGCTATGTCTCTCTGGCTCTCACATACTTTGGTTCACATGTTGCTTTTGAAGCTTGTCATTGATTTCACAAGGCTTCAAGGGATTTCTTCCTTGGGAGCCTACTGTCAACCACGTGGGTCTCTCTATTCTCCAACTCAATTTCCCAGGAGAAGGACCTGATTTGGCCAGTTCTTCCTTTTCAGCTAATTCATGTGGACCATCTTCAGCTACTGCTGAGTGTCTTTGGAGCAGGTGCTGCCCTGGTGCAAGTTTGAGGCTGTGGAGTCTGATGGCATGAATGGTATACTCCTTAGCCCAGCTGGCTGTGGGGGGCAGAGCCCCTGGGCAGTCACAGATGCAGTAGGCATTCCAAACATGCCTGATACACTGGGTATGAGTTCCCAGCCCTTTTCTGATCTATATTTGCTTTGGGCATTTCCAGGGTAGATGCGGATACACAGGGACCTCCCCTGGTTGGCGTTCCTCCTAATCCACATCATGGGGTTGTGAAAACAGACCCTCCCAGGGACTCCTGCGCAGATTATGCTCTGTGGATGATGGGTGACGACAGACCCTCTGACCACTTCCAACCTGTGGAGTTTCTCGACATCTGTTTGGGAGACAACCTACAGCCCTACCCAGGAACATGCTCCAGGGAAAACGGTAGCTCTCCCAATTCTCCTGAACCTTGTGGGGAAAAATCTTGGGCCTTTGACCCTCCTGAACCTCCTGAATCCACCAGACAAGATGCTCCTTTCTGGGATGCTGGTGTGGAGCCTACACACTTGGAAAGCTGCTCTTTCCAGAGGGAGAGCAAGCAGACAGAAACATCCCAAGGAATGTCTGGAGATAGCTGTCCTGTGGAGAGCCCAAGGCAGAACCAGAGCACATCCACACAGGTGGTGTTCTGGGCAGGCATCCTGCAGGCCCAGATGTGCGTCCTCGACCTGGAGGAGGAGCTGGAGAAGACAGAAGGGCTCAGGGCTGGGCTGAGGCGCTGTGTCCCCACACTCCCAGCAGACTCCCCTGGGGACGTGGACTTGCACCCCACCCCACCTGCAGAGGCGAACTTGGTGGAAGACAGCAGTGGATCTGAAGGGGAGAACCAAGTATGGCCGAGGGTGGGAACACCAGGCTCTTCTCCAGAGTGGGGTGCTGAGGAAGAGAGTGTGTTCTTCAACAACCCCCTTTTCCTGGAGACTCCTTGCTCAGAGACCAGTGTCCCTGAAGAGTGCTTTTCCTGGGGGTTCCCAGACTCCCATGTGGACATGAGGACTGGGTCTGACAGCCCACACACTCTGGAGCCTTCACTCCCAGAAGACACAGTGACATGGGAGCTGGGAAACACACTGGATTTGGGGGACAGCTCTGCTGATTCTGGTGGGTGTACCACCCCCCCATTCCCTGTGCCCACCTACAGACCACACACCTGCTGGGTCTCAGTGGCTGCTGATGAGGAGGCTCCTGCAGCACCTTCTCTTCAGGAGGGGAGTGAGGTAAGCTCAGTCCTAGGAACCAATCCAGAGCTGTGTTGGGGACATAGAAGGGATGGCTTCTCCTCGAGGTACCCAGCCCAGAACACACTTTTCTAGTGCTGGGACCTTTGGGATCTGGGACAATGTAGATGAAAACCAGGAACAGAGCTTCAGAATTATAAGACATTTTATCAATGCCATGTCAGTTGAACATGATGGCAACTGACATCCACAAATATCTTCTTCTCACCAGCTCCAACAATCTATGAATCTTTGGAGAACAAACAGCTACTCCAGTTGCAGGGTGTTCTAGGCTATTCTCAGATCCTCCCCCTTCCACTGCCAAGGCATTCTCAGCAGTAACAGGGCAGGGGTCAGCATGCAAGGGTGACCTCTGTCCCTAACAGAGAGATGTCTGCTTTAGGAGTCTGGTCCTCACTCTTCTTGAGAGATTTCAGCAATTTGTTACTTTTGGTTCACCGTCTTTCATTCTCCTCCCTGTCCAGAATCAGATGAGGTCCATATGACAATGGCAGAGATCCTTGATATCAGTTAGGGCTGGGACAAACTGAGACAATAGGGAGTGCAGTTTTCCCAGGCTGGCTTCAATTAAGAGATAAAGAGACTCAACATGGAGAACGAGGCTGTAACTCTCTTATCTCAATTCCCAGAGGACAGTGAAGAACAGCTTTCTTACCCAAATTCTGAGATCAGAGGAGCTCCCCAGTATTGATAGGAGCCCCAGGGGGTGACATGGTGGCTCTGTACTGCAGAGGTGAATGTCTCAGGAACTTGCTTTAAGGCACTGAGGTGCTCAGAAGGAAGGCTGGGCCTCCGTGTTGAAGCTGGGCATTAGTGAGGGTCTTTACTGCCTGATAATACAGTCTCTCCCTGGGCTGGTACAGTTTGAAGCTAAGGCCATCTGGGAGACTGTGAAGGGAGGAGGCCATGAGAAAGCCTCTGGGAGCATGTCTCCTCTGGACTGACCTCTCCTCTCCTTTCTTTTTCTCTCTAAGACTTCTCTGGAAGACAGGCTTGGTCCTGCCCCATGTGCAGCCCCCTGTGTGGACAAGGCATTGACCTGGGAAACAGGACACACTGGATCTAACCTCAGTCGTGCTACACATCCTGTGCAACTTTGGGTAAGTCACTGCCCCTCTCTGGGCTTCACCTTCTCCATCTGTGAAGGAGGGACATGAACCCCTTGCGTTCCGATGCCCAGTGTCAACACTCCTAGGATGTGGATCTCCTCTTCTGAACTGGGGCTCAGGCTGAGCCAATGTGGGAGGCTGGCAAACAGGGAGGGCTTCTGTATACTCCGAGCTTCTTCCTCTCCTCTCCTTCTCCTCCTCCCTGCCTGGCCTCTCCCCTATTTACCTCTTACTGTCTCAGGGCACATGGAAAGGCCTGTGTCTCTCTCAACAGGACCCTCCCAGCCCCGAGGACTGGCAGACAGAGGAGGGTCCTTCCTGGCCCCAGAGACCTCTTATCTCCCATGCCAGAGGTGAGACCCAATACAGTAGCTGAGAAATAGGGTGGTGGGAAGCCCTGAAATTTGGAGTGGGGACAAAGGTCATTCTTTCACAGATGTCATTAAAGGGTTCCACTGCATTATGGTGGAGCCAGACAGACTTTGGTTAAATTCTGCCCTCTGCCTCTGTGACTATTCATAAAATGAGTCTTAAAATACTTATAGGCTAAGTAAAAGAAAGTACCAGAGACCCAGCATGTTCGATGCCTGGGTCTTAGTGGTTCAACACGAGTCCTAAGCACTTAGCTGCCTTGGCAGCTGTAGTCCTGGAAGCCCGCTGCCTGCCGCCTCTGCACGTGGGAGAGGTCACTGCCCGGAGGAGGGACAGTGTGCTGCCAGCCTCGGGGGAGGAGCCTATGGAGGGAGCCTGTGGAGGTGGCAGCACAGGCCCCTCTGCTGCCTCTCGCCAGAGCCAGCCTCACTCCACGCTCCTCCTCAGGTGAAGGGGATGCTGGGTGTCCCCAAGAACCTGCTCCCTGCACCCTGGCCTCTGGCCCCTGGGGAAGTCCAGCTTCTTCACCACAGCCCAGCAGCCCAGAGTCCGAGAGAAGCAGCCTTGGCCCCAAGCCCAGTCCCGCGTCCTCCCAGGAGGGCAGCCCGCAGCTCCGGCGCCACAACTCAGGCATTTCTCCCAAGCTGGCACTAGATGCTCTCTGCTCTTCACTCTTGGAGACGGATGGAGCAGAGCCAAGTTCTCTGGAGCAAGAGGAGGTCAGAGAGGCCCCAAGCCCAGGGACTGAAGTAAAGAGTGAAGGCCCAGCCAGAGCTGTGGAGGCTGGAGGCATCCAGCCCAGCGTGCACGTGACCTCTACAGAAGGGTAAGTCTTAGACCCACTCGCTCTCTGGCTCTTTGTTCTGGTGCACTTAACAATACCCTGGTATGGATAGGGTGTGAGAAAGGCACATTGCAATCGAATGCATGAGTGTTGATTAGGGGAGGATTTTATGACTGGGTACCAGCAGAGCCTTGAGAGACTGGAGGGTTTAAAAGCATGGGGACTACAGAGCAGTCTTGCACATGGAGGCAGGATTTGAGTGTATGAGGCAGGGCCATGAGAAAAACATTCCCGGCTGGATATCAAGACAGGAGAAAGGGGAGGAGGTGTTCAGGGAACCTGCCGAGGGCCCTGTGCCCAGAAAAGCAGGAGCTGTGCCAGGCAGACAGGGGAATGGAAGGTCAGAACTGTGATGTGGCCATTATGGACTGACTGCTTTGGACTTGATGAGGTGTCTGGGAGAAATTCACCAAAGATCCTAGGCCTTGGGTACTGGTTCTGACATCACCAACAGGATATTTGACTGACAGTGGGTTTGGGGGGCCACAGTGGGATTGTGTTACCACAGCACTGTGATCAATGGTGGGAACAGGCTAACTAGAAAAGCCAACATAGATGTCCTTCTGCCCCAGGGTGCTGCATCTAGATCGTCAGTCCCCCAGGATCTCTACCTGGGGAAAAGGGCTTTGTTCTATGGTCGTCTGAACAGGGGTCATACTGAAGAGCTGAGGAGGAGCCTGCAGTGGCTCAGGTCCTGGACCTAACGGTGGAATAACCCCATTTCTACTTCAGTGTCCTTGGGTGAAAGCAACAGACTGTCAGTTAATGCCAGAAATCAAAGAACCACCTTCCTCTATGCATCTGGAAACCAGGCTGTCCTGGACATATTCTGAAGCTTTGGTCTCTGTCTTAAAAGGGGAGATAATTGCACCCAAAATTAACACTAACTCAACTCAAAACAAAAGTAAAGAAATCCACTTACATAGTAAATAATGAAAAAAAGGTTCTTATTGTGGATTTGTTTTGGTAAATGACACTAAACATTATATAATATTTGGTTTTATTTGTCAGAGGGTGTGTGTGCTTGCCAGAAAAAGACAGAGACAGAGAGAGAGAAGGAATGGGAGGAAGCACCCTTCAATGAAAGGTGGTCATGTTGCAATCCCCTCTCTTCCATTTCTCCATCCCGTTAGGGTTTGGGGCATGCACATGCACCTGGCATGTTTTTCAAGCTACCAGGGTCAGGATTTGAACTATGGTCAACTATGTGGGATCCATCTCCCTTAACCACCAGGCCATGGGGCAACCCATAAATAAGTATTTAATCTTGTATTTAACACAATGGAGGAAATTTAATTTTGCCTGGACAAGTTTGCTGACTTGATGAGATGTCTTTCATTCATGGTTGACTTTCACAGGGAGATCATCATTTGTTAAAAAAATAAATAATAGCTATAATTCACATACCATCCAATTAAGCCATTGAAATGGTACAGTCCCATGATAATTTACATTTGCGTAGTGTTTTCCCCCCAATATGCTAGATACTATTTGAGTAGCAATGCTAACTTACTAGGTTGTTTTTAAGAATGTATTTTAGGGTGTCATCGTTTAATTCCAAAGAATTCTCTTGGATGTGACAGTTGTGTCATTATTTTTATTTCCTCGATTCAGTTGTTCATTGAATTAAGTTTTCCAGGTCCTTATTGCCAATGGTTTCCTTGTGATTTCTGGGTCTTCCAACATCACTTTCATAGTCTTCATGAAATCTTGTACTTTTTCTATAATTGCCAGAGGGCAGGTATGCTTGCCAGAGATTATATATATGTATAGATAGATAGATAGAGAGAGAGAGAGAGAGAGAGAGAGAGGGAGAGGAGAAAGCACGCCCACAGTGGGATGTAGATGCCACAATCTCTTCTCCTTCATTTGTTCATCCTGTTGGGATTTGGGGCATACACACCCATGCCTGTGTGTGTACACATGCTTGGTGTGTCTTTTAAGCTGCCGGGGCTTGGCTTTGAACTGTGGTCGCCCTTGTTGGAACCAGCTCCTTTAATCACTAGGCAATATGGCTGTGGTTTACTTTTTTTAGTTTTCTTTTTCTTTTTTTGGCAAGATATAAAATTTCACTTTTTAATTAGTTTCCTTTATGTTTATTCTACATTGTTGGATGTTGATGAGCCTCAGGAAACAGTGGGAAGTTACTACCAAAGACATCGGCCCATTGTTAAATGGAAAGGACAGTTGAGTGAAGCTTAGTGTTATTGGGTCAAAGGAGAGTCATAATAAATTTTTGCATAGAAAAACAGAAAACTATGTCATGACTTTCCTGACAACCCAATACAAGAGGTCAGTTTATCAGTAACTGTTTTCATAGTACAATGACTTCTGCTTCCCTGTAGAAGCCTGTAACCGTGGCAACTTGGATAATGAGTATTTGCATAAGTAGGATACTCCACACCTGGTTGCCATGTTGCAAATAGAACAGAAGAATCAGGTAGGGCCTGAACTGAGTGACTTCTGAGAGTCTGACTGTTACACTCTGAGTGCTCTCTGAGTCTACTGGGGTGGCTGGGCCTGTTTACACTTGCAAAAGGTCACCACCCAGCCTCCTTGCTGCTAGGATGGGGAAGGGAGAGACTGGACTCCCCCAGCTGTCACCATTCCTAAACCAGGCCAGCTTCCTGCTCTTGGCCCCATCTTTACACCTCTCTTGGCTCCAGATTTAGCAATGGAGGCTGGCTGGAGCTGGGAGGTGGGAAGGGGACAAAGAAGCATATGATGGCTTCAGGTGAAGGAGCCCATCCCACTCTTAGTACCTACAAAGAGCTATACTGCCACTTGTGATGAAAGAAGGCCAGAACACCCCTGTGCTTTACCTGAGAAAGTGCGGGCACCAAGCTCAGCTCCACCCCTTACATGATTACCTCCCTGTGTTCTCCTGCTCCCTGCCCAGTCCTATGCAGGCCAGGCTGGCGGTGGCTTTGCCCCTCCATGAAGGGGGGTGCTCCAGGCCTCACCATTCAAAGGTCTAGAGCACTAAGTCTAATCCTGAGCTCTGAGCATCCCCTTCCTTGGCCCAGAACCCCATACATGTCCATCTCAAGTAGGAATCTGAGGACTCTTCACTAATGGACTCTTCTAGGTTTCCTGAGAACCCCATGCCTCAAGCACAGCGCCCCCCAGAAGGCCAGAGGCCACTGCCTGGAGACAAGCTGGCTAATGGCGTCAGGAATGACCAGGTGGCCCGGAACTTGGCGTCACGCCTCTATCATCTGGAGGGCTTCAGAAAGTCCGAAGTGGCTGCCTACCTGCAGAAGAAGTAAGGGCACAGATGCATGGCTCCCTCCACTGGCCACCCCTCCTTTGGTGCCCCACTACAGTCCTTGTTCTGTCAGCCCTGTCCTGGCCCTCCCCATATCCCATCCTCACCTTTGCCCCCACCCTGGCCATGCCTGCTCCTCCCTCTCAGCCACACTTGTATCATGCCTCCTTCCTGATCCTGTGTCTGGCCACCCTGCCCACCTGACTCCACAGGTCCTCCCCATTCAACACTGGACAGGGTCCCACAGGCAGGCGGGACCTATGTTCAGCCTGACTGTGCCTTTCCTTGTCTGGTTCCTGCTCCATCAGGCCCCATGATGTGTGTGAGCTTTGGGGGCTCCTCTGCATCTGTGTCCCCAGGCCAGACCCCAGGGGCAGCTGCATCCCCATTTTTACTCCACAGCAACGACTTCAGCAGGGCTGTGGCTCAGGAATATTTGTCATTTTTCCAGTTTGGAGGCCAGAGCCTGGACCGAGCCCTCCGGTAAGGCCTTGAGGCCCTCTCTGGGACCCAGTGGGGGGAGCTAGGGGTAGTAACACCGCCTAAGGCTGGGATCTGATTGGCCTGAGCTCCTGGGCTCTTTGAGGCCTCCTAGCCTGGGCTCTCTCCCTGACTCTGCCCTCCTTGGCAGGGGCTTCCTCCAGGCCCTGGTGCTCAGTGGAGAGACCCAGGAGCGGGAGCGAATCCTCTACCAGTTCTCCAGACGTTTCCACCACTGCAACCCTAGGCTCTTCCCCTCCGTAGGTAGGGAGGGGCTGGCAGAGGGCAGGGCAGGGAGACTTTGGGGTTCCAATGGTGGTGGCTGGGGAGTGTTGTGGGTGCTGTGGAGAAGGAAGCCTTCCTACTTGGAAGGTGTAGGGGGTCCTTAACCTAGTATGGGGAGGTGGGGGATGGGGAGGAGTCCTGCCTCCATTGAGCTTTCCCTCTGCTTGCCTCTCTGGGGCAGATTCTGTCCACACCTTGACCTGCGCAATCATGCTCCTTAACACGGACCTGCACGGACAGGTAAGGAGGTGGGCAGAGTGTCTGTGAGGGCTGCAGCTTGGAAGAGAGGGGAGGAGAGGAGCAGAAGCTTGGGATGGGGCAGGGAAGGGCCCTGGGGAACTGGAGAAAGTCCTGGAGCCTGGGGGTTATTCTGTTGGGTGGGTGCTCCAGTGGTCCCACTTCTCTCCACGGCCACAGAACATTGGGAAGAGCATGAGCTGCCAGGAATTCATAGCCAACCTGCACGGCCTACGGGACGGTGGGGACTTCCCCAAGGAGCTACTGAAGGTATGGCGTAAGAGGGCCTTTGTATTGGTTCAGGGCCCCGGCACTTCCGTTTGAGGCCTAGAGCCTTGGCTCCTTCTAAGGGGAGTGCTGAGCTCAGGCCTGGCTCTACTAAAATCCCTTCAAGAGGACAGGTCTTCTTTATTGATCACTAAGCATGATCCCTGGCTGACCATATAGTGGCACCTTGGAATTGGTTAGCTATGTAAATTCACCAGCCCCCTGCCGCGGACCTACTGAGTCAGACTTTCTGGGGCTGGGGCTGTCAAGTGTTTTTTGTCACATTTCCAGGTATTCCTACCCCTTTGAAGTCTGAAAAATACTGATTGATTGGTTTTCTGAGTAGAGGAAAAGGTCCAGGTGGCCAAAGTGAAGCTCAGACTTGGGAGCCTGGTATTCCTGGGTCTGAATTCTAGGGCAACTTACCCCTTGGCCAACTCAGGTTTCTCCCAAGGTAGTAACCACCTTGCAATGTGATGATCAAGATGAAATAAAGTTGGTCAGGCATTTAGCAGAATGCCTGATACATAGCACATGCTTCATAAGTGTGTGTATCATTTGCACTTTCATCTTTTTAGTGAACATTTATCAAACACCTACTATGTGCCAGACACCTTGCTAGGCACTGGCGGGCTACAAAAGCAAGATACATCTACATTAGTACTATTTGTATTTTTTTTTTAAACTGCCAGAAGGTGCATGTGCTCACCGGAGAGAGAAGAAAGCACCCCCCTATGATCACGACCATGCCACCGTCTCTTCTCCATTATTCCATTCTTCTGGGATTCAGAGCATGCGTAGAAACACATCTGGTGTCTATGGGGCTGAGATTCAGACCACAGAGTTAGCTATTTGGGCTTAGACTCTCTTAGCCACCAGGCGATAGGACTGGCCCAGTTTCTGTCATTATTTGAAAGTTCTAGTGCATCCTTCACTCATTCATTCATTCACCAGATGTTTGTTGCGAGGGTCAGTCAGCATGGCCTTCTCCATTGGATCCTTCTGGGCTGCATTCGCTTTCCCCGGGAGAGAACTCTGCTCAGGGACCCTGCAGACCCTGCAGTTCAAGCCTCACTAAGCTCAGCCAGGGTGGGGACTTGGCTGCCTTGACCATGTTATAACTCGTACCCAGGACCATGCTTGGCACACAAGAAGTGCTCCATAAATCATTTATTGCATGGACTAATGGATGGATGGCAGGACAGATGCTCATCCCTTCAAGGAAGAAGGGCAGATGTGTCGGGGATGGAGGAGACAGGCTGTACACATGGCTCTGCCCTACTTCTGCCAGAGGGAGTTAGGGTCCCGCTACCCTGAGGCCTTCCTGCCCACTGTGTGCTTCTGTTTTAGGCCCTCTACTGGTCTATTCGGAGTGAGAAGCTCGAGTGGGCCATGTAAGTGCTGTCTCTCGACCTGTCCTCTCTCTGTCACCAACCTGAGTTGGAGTTGTTCAGGGTCCTGGACAATGTTCCCCTCTGAGTGGGGTGGGGCCAGAGGCAGGGCATTGGCTAGTCCCAGAGAGGATGAAAGAGCCCAGATGAGGCTGGAGGAGTCAGACAGAGTGGGGGAGAAGGGTGGGGATGGCAATGTTTCCAGGAATTAAAGGGACAGCGTTGAAGGAGGACTTCTTTGGGGGTCCTGGAGTGTAGCTCCCCAGCAAGAGAGAGGGTATTGAAGCCTTGAGAGGCAACTAGAACTCCCAGTCTGTTCTCTGATGTCCAGGGATGAAGAAGACCCAGCCAGACCTGAGAAAGCCCAGCCATCTCCCCCCATTGGCAAGATGAGCAACCCCTTACTGCAGCTAGCTCAGGACCCCACAGCACCCACCTACAAGCAGGGCATCCTGGCTCGGAAGATGCATCACGATGCAGACGGCAAGAAAAGTGAGTGTCTGCTACCCATGAACAGGGTGGTGTGCTTGGGCAGCTCTGCTCAGGGACCCTGCAGACATGTGCACGGTGTACATAGAGATGGCCCGTGTTGAGGACAGGAGCCCACGTCCCTTCCTCAACATGTCCTGAATGGTGACAGTGTGCTCTGTGCATGTGCTGAGGGAGTGAGGGGGTGGTCCCCAAAGCAGTAAAGCAGAGACTGGACAACGCATCAATGTCTGGGCTACGAGGCAGAAAGAGCAGAGTGTGCAGGGAGGGCTGGATCGAGGGTGGGGACGTGGAAAAGGGAAAGGTTTTTGTTTTGAGGGCAGGACGTGGAGACAGAAATAGGTAAGGCTTTGGGGAAATGATGGTATCGGAGCTGACCCCTGGAGGATAAGAAGTGTGGGCTTTTGAAGGTGGGCAGAAGGCTTTCCCCACAGAGCACAGAGCAAGCCATTTCCTCAGAACCTGGGGTGAGTGAAAGGGAGTAGTCGGAGGTCACTGGGGCAAGATGGCTGGGATCTGCCTTTGGACCTCACTCCCTAGGTAGCGGAAGTCTTTAGAGCAGGGGAGCAGTGTGCTCTAGGAGATGAACCTAGAATCACAGGTCGGATGGGGTATGGTGACCAGGGAGGGAGCTAGCACTGACAGAAGCCTGAGTGAGACCCCCGGGGGAGGTGACCACAGGAATTAGGCCTTCTTCAAGGAGCTTAGAATCTAAGTCTCCCCCTCAAAGTCAGGGTGGGGAGGTAAGGGGGATAGGGAGGTTGATGGGATGCACTGAAAGGGAACATCCATCACACTGGGACCTGAGACCTTGTGCTCCCCTGGGGACACAACAATGAATTCATCTTGCAGGGCAGAAAGATGTCTGAGCAGAATTGTTTGTGGCTGGCTGCATTTGTGCATGGGGTCAGGGGGGTGTTTGGGGAGAGGATGGGCTGTGGGAATATCCACAGTTGTGTGCAAATAGTTCTCCATCTACACCCCGCTTCTGGGATTGCCTGTGTTTGCAGGGATGCCAGGCAAGGGGTCTTCATGGAGTTCATGGAAATGTGTATTCTGAAAGAACTGCATCGATTTCCACATCTTTTGCACCCTAAATAAACTCATACTTTATGTCCATGTTTCCACAAACATTTTCAAGCCTTTTTGTGCACCTGTCTGTGCCTGCACATGTCTTCTTGTGTTGCTGTGCTCTGTTCACGTGCACCTTGGGGTAGGGCTGGCGGTGGTGGGAGGGGTGGGAGGCTGTGCACACTTGGGTGTCTGAGTGTGTCCTCACTTCGCTTCTGCTCCTGGGACAGCGCCCTGGGGCAAGCGCGGCTGGAAGATGTTCCACACCTTACTACGAGGGATGGTTCTCTACTTCCTGAAGGTAGGAGGGGTGCCAACACCCATGGTGGGCAGAGCCAGGAGAAGCCTGGAACAACCCCCGGGGAAAGTTAATAACCTCTTCTGAGCCCTGTGACTGGTGGCAGGGAGAAGACCAATGCCCCGAGGGGGACCGTTTGCTGGGGCAGATGGTAGATGAGCCCGTGGGGGTGCACCACTCGCTGGCCACCCCTGCCACTCACTACACCAAGAAGCCACACGTCTTCCAACTGCGGACTGCGGACTGGCGCCTCTACCTCTTCCAGGCACCGTAAGTCCCCAGATGGGAAATGAGCGCCTAGCTTCCCTCTCCTGTGACCCCGCGGACCCCCGCCTTGGTGGGATGCCGTGTTGACCATGAATCTATAGAGCGCTTCAGC